GCGGCCTGCGGCCTCCGCCTCTGCCTGCCCGCACACGAGCTGCTGCTGCACCTGCGCCAGCGCCTCACCACACACTGCTCCGGCCCACCCTGCCGGCCCTCCCCCACCCGCACAGGCTACTGCGCCACCGACATGTCCAGCTGGCGCGGCACGCAGTCGGCGGCGCAGGGGGCCGACACGCCCGTGTGGCTGGCCCTGCTGCCGGCCTCCGAGAACGAAGCCATCACGGGGCGCTTCTGGAGCGGGCGCAGGGAGGAGCCCTTCTGAGGGTCGACTTCCTTCGAGGGTTGACCTGGGGTTTCTAGCTTGTGCCACATCATAGTTTTTGCAGGCTGCCTGGTGATGGGCCGATTTCATGTTGTGGACATGGCGTGTGGCATTACAGGGGTGCAATCCCCTCACTCTTTTAGACTTCATTAAGGCCAGCAGGGCAGCAGGCAGGCAGGCAGGCAGACAGGCGAGCAGGCGGGCAGGTACGAGGCAGCACACGGTAGCGCAGCCTCAGCGCCGGCGATCCCGGCTGCGCGACCGGCTGCGCCGCGCCGCCCGCCGCGGGCTGCGGCTCCTGCTGCGGCTGCGCCGCCGCCTGTCGCGCTCCCTTGACCGGCTGCGGGTGCGGCTGCGCCGCCGATCCCTGCTGCGCTCCCCCCTGCGCTCCCGCTCACGAGGCCGGCTGCGCCGCCGCTCCCGCTGGGACGACGGCGGCGCCTCCCGCTCCCGCTCCCGGGACCCCGCGCTGCCGCCCCTGGCGCCGCCCGCGGCCGCCGCCTTGGCCGCCAGCGCCGCCTCTGCGTCCGCCACCAGCCGCGCACGCTGCTCCGCCACCTTTGCCTCCACCTCCCGCCGCGCCAGCCCTTTGTCCTCCAGCCGATCCCGGAACTGCACCAGCACGCCCTCCACCTGCCGCAGGCGCTGCCGCCGCTCCTCATCCAGCGCTGCGTCCCCGCCAGCTGTTGCCAGGTCGGCCGCCGGCGGGGCGGCCGACGCCGACGCTGGGGGCGGCGCTGCGGCGGCGGCCGCCGCGGCGGCGGCGGCTGCTGCGACCGCGTTGCGCTTGGCGGCCGCCACGGTGGCTGCCAGGTCATCGTCGCTGTCAGAGTCTTGGGCGGGAGCAGGCGCCGCCGCCCCGCCGTGCCACCTGCTGGCGGGCTGCCGCGAGGCGGCGCCGCCATCTGCCGGCGCAGGCGCAGGCTGCTGCTGCTGCTGCGGCTGCTGGTCGGCCGGGGCGTCCCACTTGGAGCGCGGCGCCGCCGC